GTTACCAATTGGCTTTCTTCCTTGTGGTAGTGGCACAAGGTCCCATGTATTATTTTTATGAAGGGCTTCAATTTTTTCTTGCATCGCCATCATCCACAGTGAAGCATCTGAGTTGTTTATTGCCTCCTGGTATGTTGATGGCTCACCGTCCTTTGTTAAAAGGCAGTATGCAATATTACCTTCTATAATATAATCTGAGTGCCAATTGGGACGTCTTCTCACACGATCTGATTGACGAGTTGTTGGAGCTTCAGAACTCTCTGGTTCTTGTTCATCATGTGCTGGTTCTGCTTCAGAAGAATCTCATTCTTCAAACTCTTTTTCCACATGTATCTGAGTAGTCTCTGACTTTTCAGCGCTATCATCGTCTTCTTTTCTTTGTAGTTTATCTTCTACAAAGATAACATCCCTGCTAATGATCACTTTGCGGGCAGTGGGATCCCACAAGCGATACCCCTTTACTCCATCAGCATACCCCAAGAATTTGCATTTCCTGGATTTTGGATCCAGCTTTGAAATTTCTTGGGAGTTGTATATCATATACACAATACTTCCAAATACATGGAGGTTTGAATAATCAGCTGGTTTACCATTCCACATCTCCATTGGTGTCTTCAGCTCTATTGCAGTTGATGGAGCTCGATTCACCAAATAACAGTTGGTATTGACTGCTTCTGCCCAGAATGATTTTTCTAGGCATGCATCCCTCAACATTGCTCTTGTTCTTTCTAACAAGGTTCTGTTCATCCGCTCTGCCACTCTATTTTGTTGAGGAGTATTCGCCACTGTGAACTGTCTTTTGATGCCTTCTTTCCTGCAAAAGTCATCAAATTCTTCACTTGTGTATTCTCCTCCATTATCTGTTCTGAAACACTTGATTTTATTTTCAGAATCAAGTTCCACCCGCGCTTTGAAGTTTTTGAAAGCTGAAAACACATCGGACTTCTTCTTAATAGGGTACACCCAACATCTCCTGGAGTAGTCATCAATAAATGAGACAAAATATTTTGCTCCGCCTAGGGATGTAACTGGTGCTTGCCATACGTCAGAGTGAACCAGTTCTAGAACACTTTTGCCTCTAGAATTTGATGTGTTGAATTTCAACCGGTGCTGCTTACTTGTTATGCAATGCTCACATAAAGTAAGTGAAACCTTTGTTAAGCCTGGAAGTAGCTTTTGCTCCACAAGGACTTTCATTCCTTGTTCTGACATGTGTCCAAGTTTCTTATGCCATAGCATTGCAGAATCTGAACTACATGAGGCAACAGAGGCTTCTGCTTCTAGCAATGTCTCTCACTTCAGCATGTACAAGTTTGCAGCTATCTTTTCACCTTTCAGCACCACAAGCGCTCCACGTAACACTTTCATGATTCCTTTTCGTGTTTCAATCTTGCTAGCATTATTATCCAACAATCCGTAGGATAATAAATTTTTCTTTAGACCTTTCACGTGCCGCACATCTCGAACAACTTTAATTGTTCCATCATACATCTTCAATTTGATGGTTCTCACACTAACGATCTCTAAGGCATGATCATTGCAACTATACACAGATCCTCCTGAGACATGTTCATAATGATAGAACCATTCTCTTCTTGAGGTCATGTGATATGTTGCTCCCGAATCAATGAGCCATATATCTGCAAATCGTTTTCTTCATTCCACGGTGGTTGACGCTTCACAGCATAGAGCATCTCCATCATCTGAAGTATTTACGGTATTGCCTTGTGGATTGGAGTTTTTATTTAGACTCCAACAATCCTTCTTCAAGTGACCATTCTTTCCACAGTTGTAACACTTTAAATTCTTCTTGCTTCTCGACTTCGATCTACCATGTTTGTGACTGCTGCTTTGGCCACGTTCTGTTGATCTCCCTCTCATCGTTGTCATCGTTGTCAACGCTTCTGCTTGTTGCAGATTTACTTGTCTGTCTTCCTTGTTTTTGCGCCGATTTTCTTCTTGTAGAACAGCAGTTGCAACGTCATCGAAGACTAGACTGGTGACATTACTGTTTGTCAAGTTGATGATGAGTTGATCATATGAATCCGGTAGACTTTGAAGTAGAAGTTCAGCACGTTCTTGTTCTCCTATTTTACAGCTTAAGGATGTAAGCTGAGAAAATAAAGTGTTCAGTGTATTTAAGTGCTCCGTCACTGAAGTAGATTCTGGCATACGGAGAGTGTACAATTTTCTCTTAAAGAAAATTTTATTATGCAACGATATGGCCTCGTACAGTTTGGTGAGATGATCACATATCTCCTTAGCTGTCTTCTTCTCATCGATACTTGACAATACTTCATCTGCTAATGCTAGATGAAAGTTTGCCATAGCATTTCCGTCCATTTCGATCCATTTGTTGTCGTTTGTGAAATCTACTGGCCTTTCGTTGATAGCTGCTAGACAACCGTCTTTCCTCAGGATGGCCTTCATCTTTAATTTCCACAATGAGAAATTTCTCCCATTGAACTTTTCAATATCAAATTTCGTTGCCATTGCTTCGTTTACGGATAGCTCCCACTATTTCACTATCGTGAATAGTTCTCTGGAACGTTCAAAGAATGGGTAATAACTTCTTACTTTCTTATGTTGGAGGATCCACCTTTTGGTGGCAACCACAAAGACAATAAGCAGATATTACACACTCTAATCTAGCTCTGATACCAATTGTTGCAGAAGACGGCTATCGGATAGAGAAAAATCGCAACTGATAATTTGAGAAAATAAAAATGAAGATAAAAGAGACAAAATTTACGTGGAAAACCCCTAAAAAATATAGGGTAAAAACCACGGGCAACGGTAGAAGAATTTCACTATGAGAAAATATGAATTACAACCTCTCTCGATCTACCAAGGAGAAAACAATAATAATTCTCTCTAGATAAAAAGGAGAAAACAACTCTCAAGAAACTCTCTAAAATCTCTCTAGTATTGGAAGAAAGCTAGAATGCTTTGGGATGGTTTTGAAGCTAAATGAGCTAGGATATTTATAGTTGAAACTTAAGGACTAATCTTATAAATACCCTAAAGTTTAGTGACTAAAGTTTATAATTTACCCATTTAATTTTCAAACATTATTGCACCTAATTTTGACATTGTTACACCTAATTTTGATATTGCAATATTAGGTGCCTAACTTGAACCAATTTTCTGCCGCCCAAGCTTTGACATTTCAACAGGAACCTCCTCCATGTTAATCTCAGAGATGGATGCCGTTGCCTCATCAGAAGAGGCTTTGATCTTCTTTTTACTTCTCGTCAGGATATCAAGTCCCTGTTAAGAGCATTCTTCGGTCATTATCTCGTTATAATTTTCAATTAAAATATTATTCTCACTCTTAAAATTTTATAAGATTACCTCTCTAATATAAAATATTGCCTGTAAACACACAGGCTACATAAAATATTTGCATGAACAGAGAAAAGTGTCTGGCATGGCATCTTTGAATGCGTATGAAAGATTCCATTGCTTGGTGTGTCATGGTGACACCATCAACATTAAATATATGTATGTATGTATATATATAGTCAAATTTGAATCTCCAACTTTATGGCCTTCCTTCAAATTGTAAAAAAAAAAAAAATTCGGAATATAATTTCGAGATTCGAATTTTATCATTTATATTATCGTAAAAACAAAATGCATGTTGGAGATTTCGGTGTGAATGCTTTCCTTCTATGTTGAAATAAAATATATACTCTGTGCTTTGGACATGGGAGATTCCCTGAATATTCAATCTGTACATACATGAAATGATTGCAGGATATTTTCTTGTGAATATCAGCTGTATGATCCTACTGAAGCCCATGATATACATACATACATACATACATACATACCACCATATATGATATATACATACTCTGAAAACCCTAGAAGCTTCTGAGGCGAAGACTTAGGAAGTCATTGTTTTAGGATTTGAACAGATCGAGCCAAATGATGATACACTATATGTATATATATGTGTATCTGCTGGAAATGGAGGCTCCATTCTCCCTAGTTCTCTACAATGAGTTACAAAACCCAACTCGATTCGAAAAAAAAAAGGATTTTTTTTCAATTTGATTTTACACTAAAAGACTTGACTCGAACTTAATTTGTAATTTTAAAAACTATAACCGACTAAAAAATAAATTTGAGTTGAGTTGTAAAATTAGACCAGAATAACTTGTATACTTCGATTTTTTTAGTAATTAGTTGATTGAATTTTAAGTTTGAGTCGAGCACTTCAACTTTACATGATATATGTGTATTATCACATATAAAAAAATATAAAGAAATATAAATGTATATCCTATATAGTTATAGATCATTTAAATCAGAATCAATTAGTACCATAATATTATAGATATTTATAACAATTTAAACATAAACTCCAACAACTAGATTTAAAAAAAATTAAAAAAAATAGTTATAAAATAAGAATCGGCAATTCGTTTTGACTCGATCGAATAATCACTCGTATTCTAGCCTACCAAAAGTGTTAGGTTAAAAAAAAAGGAGATAACTCGGATTCGAATATTGAAAAATATAAACATAAATTGTAAAAACGACATAAAAATTGTTAAAGAAAGACCCTAACCCTAAATACATGTAAGTCCACATAAACTAATTAGCTATATCTGGTAGTGTTGATTCGGGGTGTTTGACATGGAGACATCATTGACTAAATTGATGCAGAAAAACTAGCTCTGAATCTCAAGATTAACCCAGATTCAATATATATATGTTATTCGAATTCAGATGTAAGTATTAGATACAAAAATATTCAGATTTCTCCAAGTTTCTTCTACATACAAAATGAATTTCCTCTCCTAATTCCCAAAAGATTGATTTCTTTAGCTGTATGATTAATGAAAAATTGCAGAAATGGAGTGAAAACATGAACTAAAAAGCCATATCTCAAAGAAAAAGGATTAAAAATAAAAACAACCCAAATCAAATCTTTGATGATTGATGTTATATATCATGGTTAAACTCTAAACAAACAGTTTAAGTTCATCTCAATCAAGAGGCCTAAAGTTAGAATCTTTACTACTGCTACCAGTGAAGCTGAACTTCAATGGATATCGTTCGTCGTCTTCTTTATCTTTCGTCTGATTCGCTGCCGCTTTCTCGCCTTCGAGCTCTCTAAACTTACGCAAGTACCATTTCAACGGCACTTCATAGTCGTCGAAGCCTAGCGCCGCCAAGGTCCAGCAAATATCGTCGCCGTTGACGGTCTTTCGCCGCTCTTTTCTGCATTTCTGGGAGGCTTCGCTGGTGACGAAGCCAATGAACTCCGACACGCATTCTTGCATGGTTTCCTTCGCTTCTTTCGAGATTTTGGCGTTCTGGGGAACGATTTGCTTCATTATTCGACCCACGTTGGCTATGGGGAGCAACCGGTCTTGTTCCTTGGTGCCGACATCGTGGTCGTTCGGAGCTCCGATGATGTTTTCGGACATTGGAGAAATAAACCTTACTTTTGTTTTCGCTGCTGCTCAAGGTCAAAAGGTTAGTTGTATATGGATGGATGGATGAATGTATAGGATTATTTCTTTCTCGATATCGATGTGACATGTGATGAACCTGATCATCCAGTTGGGATCAATATACTGGGACCATGTCTGCAGACTCAAAGTCCACAGGTGAAATTGTATGTCTTGTATTATGAAATATTACCGAATTTAGTCCATATAAGTCAAAAAGTTCAAAATTTCATGATTTTCAAAAGTAATTTTAATGTAAAAAATTTACAATACTTAATTCAAATTTTCTTTATATATTTTTTATTAATACACTGTAATTTTTTTATTAATATACTGTAAAATTTAATTTATACAAATATATTTATTTTAATATTTATAAGTTTTATTTAAGCTTTGAAGTTTAGGGTTTAAGATTTTAGTATTTAAAATTTAGGATTTAAGGTTTAGAGTTTATAATATAGAGTTTTAGAGTTTGGATTTTAATATTTTAAATTAAAATAAACAGATTATGTAGAAGAAAATTATTCACTGTAAAAAAGATAATTATAAATGGAATTCAAAAGACATTCACGTATTTTTAAAGTTTTAATCAAAACCATTCATTTATATTTACCTAATGATATTAAATCAACACGAATCAAGTGAGCTATGTGATAAAAGAATTGTTGTTATTCCTGAAAATCCGGGTTCGAACACTATAGGTGCCTGGAGTGTGAGCTTCAATGTCAAAAGACTGAGAGTCATCTTTGAACAGATATTGCCTTGTACTTACCACATTTTAATAAAAAAATAATACTAAATTAGAACTCTTTAAGTGATCTCAGTAGCTAAAAAAAGTTATTCTCCCTAAAAATCTTGAATTCGAGGAACTGTATTTATAAAGTGCGTACTCGTTATCAATATATAATAAAAAATTTCAATATATAAACTAGGGTAGTAAATGAGACGAGACGAGACATATCGCGAGCTACTCGAGATCGACTCGATCAAGGCTCGATAAATATTCGGATCGAATGGACTCGACTCAAGCTCGAGCTCTACTCGAGTTCTTAATGAGCTGAAACGAGTTGAAACGAGCTACTTGATATTCAACTCGAAAAGCTCGTGAGCAGCTCAAAAATATAATATATTAAGATTTTTTTAAAAATAAATTATTAATAATATTAACATTTATGTATTGATTTTTTTAAATACAATAAGATTTTCATGTATTTAAGGTTCAGATTCGAGTTCAAGTTTGAGGCTTCAATCGAGTTAAGTTTAAGAATTTTTTTTTCATTTCGAGCTACTCACGAGCTTCAGCTCAGGATTTCGAGTTCGAGTCGAACTTGAAAATTTTAAGCTCGTGAGTTTTCGAGTTGAGTCGAGCTCCATTTCAGAGTTTTCGAGTCGAGTCGAGCTCAGCAATACTCGAACTTGACTCGGCTCGTTTAAACCCCTATTCAAACAACACAGACTATTAAAAAAACTTAAAACATAATAAAATTCAAAACTTTTATATAATATAATTAATATATATACACACACGTAGGAAAGGAAACATAAGAAAATACAATGAATATTCTTGATAAACTTGCTAGCATTAAAGCCATAAATTAAGTTCAAAAACCAAAGTTGATCAACTCTATAGGATGATATGTAGTCTATGTATACATATAAACAAAGGAATATTATAATATAAGGTATAGCCACTACTTTCTTCATTGAGTAATATTTTTTAGGGTTTAGGGTTTAGGGTTTAGAGTTTAAGGTTTAGGATTTAGGGTTTAGAGTTTAAGGTTTAGGATTTAGGATTTGTCATGCAATGGTCCATAAAACAAATGTATTAATTATTTAAATCTTCTTTTTTGAAAATGATCATCCAGCTCAGTTGATAGAGCACAAGGTTCTTAACCTTGGGGTCGTGGGATCGAGTCCCACGGAAGGCAGCCTACTATCCTACCTCCCCCTTACTCCATCACATATAAAAATAAGGGTCAGCTAATTTTAGTCATTCTCTGAGTCAAAGTGATTTCTTAAGACTCAAGCCACCTTCGGGGAAATGCACGTTGGTGGAAAGTTTTTTTATATATAAAATATTTTTGAAATTTTCATATAATTAAACAATTAAAATACTATGATGATGATATACATGAAGGTGTAAAAGATATATTACTGTCAAATTTTATTATTTATAAGCATATAATGTTTTAAACATTATTGTAATATATAAAAAAATATAAATATATGAAACAGATATTTAATCAAGAACAAGTCGAATGGAGTTGGTTAATTATTTTTTTTTAAAAAAAATTTCAAATGTTTTATATAATTTTAATATTTAATATTTTTATATTATTAACTAGGTTCATATCTTTAAAATTTTATAATTTAGTCACATAAGTTTCCAACATTAAAATTTCAATTTGAATATTGATAATTCAACCCTCTTTTTAACTGCTCTAGTTAGTAGGTAGGATAAGTAATAAGTCGTTAATTTTTTATTAACCAAAGACGTCTTTTTAAAAAGAAGTTAGTTTTAAAAAGAAATTAACACTGTAATTAAAGTGTTTATTATTTTGAATTATGTGGTTTTCCATAAAACCTGTGTGCTTTGGTGGTTTGGATATTTCCTTAATATTGTGATAAAATTATTTTTAAAAAATAATTTTAAATCTTAAAGCATAATATTTTACATTGAATTTGTTATGTTTACGTATTTTAACATACAATTAAATATAAAATAAGTACCTAAACTATAGTGCTTTTTAGGAATATGCGAGTAAATTATTTTTTGAATGATCATGTTGTCTAACATTATAAACGTTATCATTTTAGGTGTCTAAACCGTCAACGATATTAATTTCTTTCCTTAGGTGAAACATGTTAAAATCTGATAATTTCAAAATTTATTTTTTAAAAAATATTATATTATATTTATAAAAAATATAATTTCTCTTAAACTATAAAAAGCCCCCAAATCCTAGAATCTTAACCTTATCCCGTCGTTGTCTTTTCTGGTCATGACAATTGCCGCCGACGTAGTCCCTTCCATCCTCTTAGTCATACGTCGCCGTAGTTATCGTCGATTGACCGTTGGAATTGCGTGTGATCACAATTTTCTTCCTAGGATCCGTGCCGTATGACGCTAATCGTTTAATGATTAGTCGTTAATCCATTTCATTTCTTTATATTTATTCATCCATTTTTTTATCTTCTATTTTTTGTAAATGAGTTTTTTTTCTCGTATTTAATAATTTAATAAACTCAACTATCATATTTTGTTTATAAATTGCATATACTTAACTTATTTTATTAGATTTTCTATTAAATATATATTTTTTTTTATTAAAAATGCTAAATTCTCAAATAGGTGTCTAACATTTTTAGGGGTTGCTTATAAAAAGGTCTAACATTTTAAAACAACTGAATAAATATTTAATATTTTTAATGTACACAATAATGACTTTAACATTTCAAAACGATTGAATGGGTGCCTAACATTTTAAATATGCTCAAATAAGAGTCTAAATTTTTAAAAATAATATTTAATTGCACTTATTTGAGTAGATTCAAAAACATTAAACTCATATTTAAACATATTTAAAATGTCAGGCACTTAATTAGCCATTTTTAAATGTTCAATTGCATATTAAAAATTTTAGGACTCTGATCGTTTTGAAAGATTAAACTCTTATTTGAACAAATTAAAAGAAAACACAGTATACCTTTCTTCTATATTTTCAATGCTTAAGACCATAGTGAGTAGTCCCTAAAAGAATAAGTCCTTATTAAGTATTTAGCCAAAAAATGTTGTTGAAATCAAAGGCTACGATGAAACTAACGTTGTGTCATACGAAATAACCACGTGGCAAACCAGAATCAACCGTCATTCTGTTGTATAAAAGAAACCAGCCCGTGGTCTCCAAACGTGATTTGCCCTCTTTTTTCTTCTTTCTCCCAGAACAAAGCCAAACGCATAAAACCCAGAAAGCTCCGTATTAGGGTTTTTAACGACTGTTCAATTTGGGAACAATGATATAGGACCCAAATACTAATCTGGGTCTGTTCTTTTAAGCCGGAAAAGCAGAAGGTTATATAGATAAAAGGGCAGAGAAATGGGTCAGGCATTTCGTCGAGCGACTGGCAGGCTTCGATCGTTGGACCAATCAAAACCCACAAAAACAAGGAGACCTTTGGGTCCCACCGACGAACAGAATATTTCCAGAGCTTCCCAGCATGAAGATCTCGATCATGGTAATTTCCCTATTCCAATAAAATCAAAGTTTGAGTTTTAGATTTTTTTTTGTTTTGGTGGTTGATTGAATTTGAGTTTTTGGGGTTTAAAGGAAGAGTTGCGAGAAGCAATCCTGAGAATGTACTGGAAGAAAGAGATCCCAAGTATGATGCAATGCTTAGCCAAATGGTGGGTAGGATTTCAGCTAAGCCTGGTGGCAAACTTGAGATGGGTGAGGTCAGTTCATTAAAGTTGTTTTTCTTGTTTTAATTTGTTTTGTGTTGATGAATAACAGCTTAGTCAAAAAGGAAATTTATAGCTGTAATGGTGTTCAATAGAATCAAACAATGCCTTAGGAATTTTACTAAAAGGTTTCTACTTGAAGGAAATGGAAAACTAGAAAACTATCTAAGGAGTTGAACCGCTGAACAATTTTGGGCTTGCTTGAAGTACAATTACTCAGAAGTTTGATTCATGGATGGGGAATTCCGTAGAATAGCCATTTCAGTTCTATTATCAAAAAACATGGCATACTCTTTCGAGGATGATTTTGCTCACTCGTTTTATGTATTTCTAGTATTGTCGATTCTTTATCAAAATTTTTGTTAGTGTTGGTGGGATTGTCTAGTTCTTTTGTAATGAGAAGTGCCGGAATGCAATTTCATGTCAAAAGAGCGGTTGGCTTAGGACCAATCTTAAGCAACATTCACAATTGTAGCCCCTCGCTAGAGCTTGACTGAGATAGATAAGAACCTTTTTTTCCTTAAAAAATTAAGAAAGTAACTCTGGAGTGCCTATGCTACTCCTCTAGCTTTTTTTACCCGTCTTATGCCGTTTAACTCTATGCCTTTGCATTATTTCTAGTGCCATTTATACGATAATGAAATTTGGAGGATTTGATAAAGTTAGTCTATAGACCTCCATTTGAACTGAGATTTGTATTGTTTTCACTGAATTGAATAGACTATGATATTCACTTGGATAGAGGGATGAGTAGTTAGTGCAAAAGATTTAGCAAAATGATTCAACTCGGTCTTAACCGGTTGGTATCAGTTTAGTCGTCGCCCTTATAGTTTTTATGTTACAGTTTTGGTTTTAGATATACCCGATATAGTGATTTCATCTGCTAATGGTGTTGGAGGGGAATGTTTGAAAGTGTTGTGTTAATGTTGGTTTCTAGTTAACTTCCTCCTACTGCAGGCATTTGTGGCCGAAAATCCTACCAGACCCTTGCCAAAATTGCGGAATACATCGCCCGAGTCAGGAAGGTATGAAGAAAGGCCCACACCTCCAGGAACCTTGAATGTAAAACAGCTACACCACATCATGTTATTGCATCAGGGCAAGGCTGATGATCATGATGGTCCCATGGATGTCAACCGGATTGCAGAGAAGTTCAGACTGGATGTTGCTCAGGTCCAAACGATCCTGCAATTCATATCCCTTCCTCCAGAGGACAACACAAGTCCAAAAAACACCAATAAAGAACTCTGACTCCCTTTTTCCTCTTGTTTAGAAGTTGGATTTTGTGTTGAATAAAGTGCGGTTTCATTTTATTTGAAAATTTGAAGTTTTGTCATTTGACAAAATAGTTCATATTTGGAAAGTTTTGGATGTTCACTCTGATAGGTATACTGTATGATGAATTTATGACGTAATTTTTTCTGAGATGTACTCTAGAAGCCCTGCTGGTTTAGCTCTGATTAATACTTAAATATATTTTAAATTGTCTTTTGGTGTTTAAAGAATATTTTGTTAAAAATAGGTGTCGGTCTATGACCACTAAATTTGATTGTAATTATTATTAAAGTTGATTGTTATATGATACGTGTCACATATATAATTAAAAAAAAGTCCAAAATTTATTTCTTCCGCTGACGGTTGGCCATCGTCAGTCCGTGGCTATCACTGTCTCGTCACCCTCACCGCGACCAAAATCTAGTCTCCCACTCACTATAAAACCGCGTCGATCGTTGTGAAAAGCATCGTGAATGGTCATCGCATTTCTAAGTTTCCCTAAATTGTTTTTGGCTATTTCGATGACTTCAACTGATCATACGTTACGTGGCTGCTACCATTAAATTCTTCGCCCTGATGCAAATAAAACCCAACTGGTTGTGACCTTTCACCATTGAAGATGGGGGTGGGAGGGAGAGAGACGACGCGTGAGTTGATTCTTTTTTTAAACAATATTATTATTATTACATAAATATAACGATAGACACCTAAAAGTATAATGGATAAAATATTATGAACATATTTATAACGAAAAAATTCATTAATCATCAAAAATTAATTTGAAATGTAATTTAAGCACTAATTTTTACCTTAAAACATGAAAAAACTTAATATTTAATGATAATTCATGTAATTTGGCCTAATAATAGATATGGTATTTGTATCTCAATACATGCATGTGTAATATGTTAGAGATCTAGAGGTGCCTACTCATTTAAAGCTATATCAGCCTATCTTTTTTTTTTCTGCCGTCCTCTCAAAATAACATAAAATAAAATCATATAATTTAAATAAAATAAAATAAAATGTCCAAACCGAGTTGTGATGTGATGCCCATGTGATTGGGAGTCCATAAAGCCATGAACTGGACGAGTTGATTCAATCTGCCACTGAAACCGTACGATCTACTTCTACTAGGCCCCACTATTAGATCGACGGCTATAAAACAAATCATCCATAAATTTATTATGGAATAAAATCTCCGACAACGTGCTCCCGTTAAACACCTAACATAAAAGGAGAAACTCCTCAGAAACTCCTTGTACTATATGTTTTGAGCTTATTAACCCATCATATTTTTTTTATAAGTTTTTAATCCAATACATTCAAAATAGGTATTTTCAATTTTCAAAACCACAATAAAAGTCAATCCTGTGAGGATTTTATCTAAAAATATAACACAAGACCAATATAAAATGAATCACATGCAAAAAAAAAAAAATTAATTAATTTAATATTGATTATTTATATTTATGAATAAAAATATATTTATAAAACATAAAATTTATAAAGGGTTTAAACATCTAATAATTAAATATTAAATAAAAGTTATAAGATAAACTTCATTTTTATACTTCTAATATTTAACCCAATGTTTTACATATAAAAATATGATTTTGAATTTATTTAATGGCTCAATAATAAAAAGAGAATAATGTTTTTTTAAGAAAAAATTATGTAGTTACGTCTGTAGCTTTGATACGTCGAGTGACTTCAGTGAAAAGCGGTGAAGTGTTATTCTCCTTAGAAGTCATAGATTTAAACAATTGTATCTACGGGATGATTTTTGCGTTATAATAACTAAAAAAATTAAAAATAAATATATTATAAACACTTTTTTTAGAATATGATAATTATAAATATCTCATCATTTTAAATATTAAGACATATTATACGTAATATGAGTATTTTTTTAGGTACAAATAAATATTTATTCTTCCAGGGTTTGAAATATCGAAAAAAATAAGTTAACTTCAAGACTACAAAATGAACATATTTGAAAAATAGAAAGGTTAGAAATGATTAAATTATAATATAAAGATTAAATCAACTAAAAGGACATAATATGGGGACCTTTTTTAAATATTACCAAAAAGTAAAGCAGAATTTCTTTCTGTTTCCAGCTTTCCATTTTCCCTCTTTACCTTCCTTCCTTCCTTCCTTCCTTCCTTCCTTCTTCACTTTCCCACTCCACCGTCTTGCTCCCCAAATCCTCAATTCTCTATTAAATCACAACCCGAACCTGTCGCCGAGCCGGCAAGGAAACCAAGATGTCCGACCTCTGGTCATCACTTCGCCGTTCCCGAACCAAAATAGCGGCTCTCTGCCTTATAATAACTGTCATTTTCCTACATGGCACTTTCAACCCCGTAAATCCCGGCTTCGCCGCCGAGGAAAACCAAAACCACCACGCCGGCGTTGACGCTCCTCTCAAGCGCCTCGATACCCGTCGCTTACTTGAAGAAGCTCAAAACAACGATGCCGCTCAGGCTGACAATAACAGCAATAGCAACGATAAGAGCTACGCGGAATTTGATATCGCCAAGATTCTAGTCGATGAAGAAGAGGGCGAAAAGGAAAAACCCGACCCGAACAAACCGTATTCACTCGGGCCTAAAATATCCGATTGGGATCAACAAAGATCCCAATGGATCTCAAACAACCCGAATTTCCCCAACTTCATCGGTCCAAACAAGCCCCGAGTCCTCCTCGTCACCGGTTCATCTCCCAAACCGTGCGAAAACCCGGTCGGCGACCATTATCTACTGAAATCGATCAAGAACAAGATCGATTACTGCAGGTTACACGGGATCGAGATTTTTTACAACATGGCGTTGTTGGATGCGGAAATGGCTGGTTTTTGGGCGAAATTGCCCTTGATTAGGAAGCTTTTGCTTTCGCATCCGGAGATCGAATTCCTCTGGTGGATGGACAGTGATGCGATGTTCACGGACATGGCGTACGAGCTTCCATGGGAAAGGTACAAATATTCTAATTTAGTTATGCATGGTTGGAATGAAATGGTTTATGATGAAAAGAATTGGATTGGTTTGAATACTGGTAGTTTCTTGTTGAGGAATTGTCAATGGTCGCTTGATCTTTTAGATGCTTGGGCTCCGATGGGTCCGAAAGGGAAGATTAGGGAAGACGCCGGTAAGATTTTGACTAGGGAATTAAAGGGTAGGCCGGTCTTCGAAGCCGATGATCAGTCTGCAATGGTATACTTGTTGGTCAAGGAACGAGAGAAATGGGGTGAGAAAGTGTATCTGGAGAATGCTTATTATCTGCACGGTTATTGGGGGATTTTGGTGGATCGATACGAGGAGATGATCGAGAATTATCATCCCGGATTAGGGGATCATCGGTGGCCTTTGGTTACTCACTTTGTGGGGTGTAAACCTTGCGGGAAGTTTGGGGATTACTCGGTCGAGAGGTGTTTGAAACAGATGGATAGAGCTTTTAATTTTGGTGATAATCAGATCCTGCAAATGTATGGGTTTATGCATAAATCGCTGGCCAGTCGGAGAGTTAAGCGGGTTCGGAATGAGACCGGTAATCCACTTGAAGTTCAAGATGAGTTGGGTTTGCTTCATCCATCTTTTAAAGCTGTTAAGATCTCGGATTCTTCATAATATGCTTTGTACATGATTTCGGTTTATCACGGTTGCGGAAATAACGAAGTCTATCGCAGACACTTTCTAGTTTCTATTACATATATTTCTACTTGAATTCAAGATCTACAGAGAGAATAATATTATTTTTATCAACGAGATTACTTGATGGGTTACTTGTGATAATAAGTTAATCTTTATATATATGGTATAGATTTATATATATCCCTTTTTGGTACAATGGATTTATATATTTCATAAATCTATAGAATGTTACATGACACGAACAATGTGCCCTTTGAGGTTATAAAGAAAATTAAACAACGAAATAGTTTTAAAAAGATAGCACTGTTTTTCTACTAATGACTTCTCAAAGCATTTCCCTTTGTCACCCCACTAGAAAGCATCAGGTTCATCACAGATACGTACCTGAGTCCGACCCATTGCCACCAAATAAGCACCAACAGCGAGATTAATGCCGGCATGGACAACCCGAGATTTGTGCAAAAAAGCCGAATTCTGTCTCAGAGACCGCATCGACAGTCAGAACCGAGTTAGATTCGTTTGAGAGAACCTATCTGTTTGTAGAAGTATTTAATGTAAATGACCGCCGGGACAAGTAGTATCGTGACTATCCATGATATGAAATTATAGGACGGTAACGGATGCAGCAATGAAAGCAGAGCATGAACAGCTACTCTTAACGAGGAACTCTCTTCTGATTTAGTATCTCCTCCTCCTTCAATCGATGCTGGAACCTGGCGAGTCGAGCTTGCAGGCTCACCAAGCTGGCAGCCTTGCGTGAAAGCACAAAACTCAGCTTGGTCACATAACTATCAACTTGGCTGCCTGGTTGATCCACCTCAGCCAAAAGCTTCATTTCCTGAAATAAAGACAACACGGTGAACAATCTCGACTTATCGACATGGACTTTGGTAATGTAATATGAGCAAGGTTACTTACTTCACGAACAATCTCCATTGTATCCTCTATTTCTTTTCTGTGAGCAGCAGTTAAAGCCTCTTCCTCCTGCAACAAACCAAAAGTATACTAGTGAAAATCCTAATAGCCCTTTTATAATTCAGAAACAAAATTAACCGTATTGATCTCCTACCTCGAGTACTGAACTAATACTTCCATCTGTATGAGGCTCGGGATTATATGGTCTAATTCCAAAACTATTTGTGCCATTATAGTTAACAGCATTCGCCTGCCGGGTGTTTGTAGCAGATGAATCCGATCCCCCTCCATCATTCTTGATCCAGTTCCCCATCATCTCAGAATTTTCTTCTCTAGTCGATTTTCTACGAGGCGGTGACACCTTCTGCACTTTCTCTTCTGTATCGACTGAAGTTTGAGAAGCTGATGAGGAAGTTCTTTGCATTGTGGAACCACCATAGGAGTTACTCGCTTCGAATCTCTCCTTATCCGTTCGGCCAGAACCTGTTCCATTTTCCTCCCTCCTATTGAAAGGTTGGCTTGAAGAAAAGGTCGACGGCAGTTGTTTGTCGAAGTCAAGATTATAAACATCTTTCTCGACAAGCCTTCGACCTATATCGACAACTTTTACTTCCTTTGGTTGCTCGTAAACATCTTCTACATCTGAGGCAGCTGAGGCAGGAGATGCTTCCTTATAACTTGGTGGTAAGGAATTTACAGACTGATCTCTTTTGGAATTAGCAATTCTTGAAAGACTTTTAACCCTGTTCAATTGGATAGCAATAATCTTTATTTAGACAGAAAGTAAATACAATATACTGCAACAAAGATCATCATAGAAACAAGGATACCTATCAGCATATCTCAGAGTATTCAGAGTGTGTTCACATGAACCGGCATTTGGAGAAATACAGGAGATCATAACTGTCCTTGATTGGCCAACGAAAGAGTCTCGGAGCACTTCGGTAAGTTTGCTCCCTCGGAACGGTATATGGATCTGGTCATTGTCCAGAGCACGAATGCACTCCTTAAGAGCCAAAAGGCTCTTATTAATTTCAGCACCCTCTATTCTGGCAAGAATTCAACGAACCAAGGTGTGTAGGAAACAACACACGTTAATACAGTTAACAGGAAAATTCGAACCTACCTAGTTTGTCGATCATTGTCGGTGGTATCTGCACCTCTTTCACTGCCAGCAAGGTCGATAAATGAAATCTTCCCAACAACCTTTCCGGCTTTAGAATCATTCCCATTGTTGTTCTTCTTGGACTCTTTCACCTTGGAATGCTTCTTGATGACAAGTTGTAAAATAGCATGTGACCTTGAAGATTCCTCATTTGCACCAGTAGAGCCTGTGCTTCTAGCAGCATTTCCTTTCTCGATGTATTCCTTCACCATTTGCACTTCTGAGACCTCAAATTCTTGCAGTCCAACAATACAGACTTGTTGTTTCCCATCTTCTCGCATAAAAAGTCTCCTATAGGAGGAAATTTAGATCGATTGATTTAATTGTGCTCGATACAGTCAGAGCAGCAGACATTTCAAAGTCATTACATATCATAAATCAATCAGGCATGTCTTCAAGAAAACAAAACAAAATGAAATGAAACACGCCTGAGTAAGCAACGAAAGAAAAGGGAAATACTTTCTCTCACTCAAAAGGTCATATAGTTTTCCACCATAGATCTCGAAAAAGCCGAGCCACAGTTTAAATTTCTGATTGCGATAAATTGGCTGGTTCAAGTATCTAACAATATCTTGGGCAGCTCTGAGAGGTAATGGTTGCATTGTGAACGTCTTACCACTACCTGAAATTGAAAAGGTAAATATTCCATGACATAGAGCAGAAATAGCAACCATGCCACATTATCATGAACTAGAGATGTGCCTGCCATTCTGGAAGAAAGTTTAGAATCTATGCACCTGTTTGCCCATAAGCAAAACAAGTAGCTTTTGTTCGCTGAAAGATGATGGGAATTATCGGCTCAACAGTTTCACGATAAACCTGTTGAATCAAACAACAGATTAAATCGATCTTTTTCTCTGACAAATCAACAAACCCTGGTCATAACATTATTCAGGAACCATGTTTGGATAGCATTACGAAAATATATTTCAACTGAGTATTACCTCATCATTGGTTACATGCTCATCCAGAACAGCATCAAAACAGAACTCGTGCTTCTCAACATATGCTGTCAAGTCCACCTCTCGTATAACAATTAAAGCAAAATATAAGAGGAGTGAAATGACACATCATACAGGTAAGAACAGTTCTAAAATATTCATCTAAGGAACATAGTGGTGTCGTGTCACATAACTACAATGAATAAGGGACAAACCTTTAGCTTGGGTTCATGGACAGTTAAAGAATTCTCCTTCACAGTTACTATGTCATCCTCCTTCCGAGAAATCTCCTTCTTGTTTAATGGTCTTTTACGTACCTTGTACCAAATGTTAGAGAGAAGTTTTTAACTTACATGACATTTAACAATTAACCAGCATCTACTTTGTCCAGAACATATATAATGAAACACAAAACGGCAAGATGACAATGAAAGGAACAAAAAGACACTAAACCTGAGAACATAAACAGCAATCTCAGATGTCCCCATTTCTACAAAAAGGGTAAGAAAAGGGGAGAGAAATGGAGCACCATGGAAAGAAACCAACATACCACAACTTTAATCTTAGCAACATTACTTTCCCTCGTGGTGGTCTCCTTTCCATTGGCAGAGCATATGGCATCTGCATCAACTTGCTCTTTTCTTTGCTGCTGGCTAGTACTAAATTGAGTTTGAAACACTTTGTTCACATCAGGCATGATTAGTGATGGTCTAAAAGGTTCAGACATAACATGCTGCAGCAACCAAATAAAATTAAAATTTCTAAACCCGAATATGCAAACTTAAATTGAAGTAAAATTTTGACAATTTAAAAATATATATCATAAGGGAACAACATCAAGAAATATCTAAACAAATCACCACAAAAATAAAAGAAGAATAGTAGAGTTGCATCTAATCAAATCATTTCAAGCAAAGTTAGGTGCAGTGTCCTAAACCATACCTCAGACAGAAGTTCTGTATCATCCATGGCATGAAGATCCAAAAGCCCAAATCCAATATCCCCCCTGAAATCTGAAGAATAGAACCCTCCTGATCTTTGGCCAGTTGGCATGCATGGCTCCGATCTAGACCACCCATTAAAATTGCAGTTCCTCATTAATGTGACAAGCCTCTGCTTCTCTTCTGCAGATTGTGCTCCATAACCCTTCAATAATGAAATACTAACTTCTCAATATCTAAGAATCCTGAGTGTAAAACCATTTAAAACTTATAAAATGAGATGAAAACAATAATAAACTCATGAGAAGAATGATCAACTAGTTATGACCTCCGATTTCCTTAAAATGCCTGTCGCCCTAACTGTTCATACTAAAAGTGGAATGATTTTTTCGTAACTTCACGCAGAAGAGGAAAGAACATATTCATTCCATCAAGTCATGGAATGTTAAATAGAAAAAAGGGGCACACGATTAGGCGTAGAACAATGTGGAAACTTCAACAACACTTCCCTTAATTAAAACTGGAATAGCCACGGTTGTTTTCACCAAAAAAAGTTCCACCAAAACTGAAATTTCGAAGTAAATTTAAAGCATTAAAAATGTACACGTGGAAATTAAATGTAGAGCGTTGCTTGTTTTACCTGCATGAGTAGATTGGAAAGGTGGAGTTGGTCGATGCCCGTAGAGGCAAGATGTCGCAAGCCAGAGGACTGCAACCACCGCGCCATAACGGCATCACCGTTATCGCCTCCGGAGGCGGAATCCGAGTTGTGTAAGGACTCTCCGCCGGAGTGATCGTAAAGCGCTGTCGATGCTGCATTGCCCTGATGCATTTGGCCACCTACGTAACGCTGCGATCGTCTTTGAGGAGCCAATTCTTAAAACCTGCTTACCAACGCAAAAAAATAAAAATAAAAAATACAATAACAAATTAAAATGTAACAGAATTTCACTTTACAAGGAGAAAATCCGAATTCGAAGAACATTCTTCCAAAAAATGAGATTTCCAATAATTCATGCAATTTTCCTTGACTTCTATCAAATTCACTCAAAATTAACGTATTCAAATTATAAAACAAGATTAAAGAAACATAAACAAATAAACGAATTACCAGAGAATGAGAAATGAAGAGAGATGATTAGACGATGGCTTTGATCATATATATAAAAAGAAGGAAGGATTGGATAAAATTCGAATCAAAATTTAAAGAGAGATGGAAGACTATATAAAGTTGATCAACTGGATTTTTGTTTTTTTAGGTAAACATTTTGTTTGTTTGTTTTTCAAAATTATTGAACGGCTATGTTTGAATTTGTTTGAAATAATTTTACAAAGTTAGTTTTTAGGGATCGAAGTCGGTTACGCATTGGGAAAGAAATGCACCCCAACAACGCCCAATATTAATACTTGATCGCTTATACATCATCGTGATAGAAATTAAAGATTGCTAAAATCAAGAATTATCTCATGATTTATATTTTATTACTCATTAATTAATTCATTTCGAACTATAATAAATATTCCCTACTTTGAAAAGAAATCACAAGATTTGCACGTTCTCCAATAGAAAGGTTTTCCCATATACCTCTTCCATATACGAGAATATTCTTTTACTATACTTTGAGGACCTCACATCAAACACAAATCGAATAAAAACTTAAAATTAAATAATATGCTAAAAGGATGAACACAGTCATTATTAAAACAAAACAATTGTTATTTCATTTTTATACAAGCATATCCGAACATACTCGATTATTTTCAAGTTCGCTTTCATTCGAACGTCGTATTTAATCGTACTATCTCAATAGATTACACTTTTCACGTCCATTCCACGAAATTCGTTCTTGAAAATGGACACGAGTACATGTAGAAATTAGTAATCATTATTGGTTAATCTAAAGGCATTTTACCATTTCAATAAAATATTTAGGGCACGTGAGTCATATTAATACTTAACCAATTAGCACACACATAAGTATAGGTAGGTATAATTAATATAATAAATCGGAACTAAACTAGAAACATAGGAACCTATTAACAAATAGTTCATTTTTTATTTCATGTAACAACTAGGCTTGACAAATTACCAAAATTAACATACAGTAAACATATGGGGTCTGAAGCATGAATACCACATTTTCTAACACCTAACAGGTTGAGGACTAAAGAGTATTAAACATAAAATTTAAAGGATCATAGTGAGTAGAATGTAAACGAAATGAACTCTGAAGTTCAAAATCAAAATAAATCAAACATCCATTTAGTGACTAAATTGAAATATTACAAACTATGGATGACTGAAAATAGGGTTAATTCAAGCGCTAAAACGCACTCCCCTCTACCTCTAAACGACATCGTTTGACGCAGGGTATATAACCCTAAAAATAGGCAGAAAATGATCATCTTCTATATTTGTTCAATTTTGTTTTCTTTTCCCAAAAGGGAAAACTCCAAAATCCTCTGCCCTCTTCTCTCTTCTCTCTTCTCTCTTCTCTCTTCTCTCTTCTCCTCACCGGGAGAAGTAAAGAAACTTCGGCCACTGCACACGATGGCCACTGCAATAAAAAACCGACCCCAAACACTACCCTACATCATCCGAAATCCCCCATTACCTTCTCTTAATCCTAGAAACCCGAGAAATCATGAAATCAAGGCCCCATAAATCATAAAATGGTTTCTAAAACCACCCCTCTTGGCCTCTAAACAAACCCTATTAAGCCTTCTAACCTTAGATCTGAAAATAGAGGGCTGACGATGATGTGCGACGACGAGTTCTGAGCTCCGAAGGTAAGAAACTCTCTCTTTTTTCTTTTATTTTGTGTGTGTGGTCCTTTTTATAACGAAAGCCTCCCTTTTTTTCGATTTTTTATGTTGCATGTTATGGGAAAGAAACTTTCTGATTTCCGTTTTTTTTTTTGCTTTTTTCGACCTTCCTGCTCTGACCGAGGAGAGTGATTCGGCGGAGACAAAGCCCTGAATCGGGCGGTTATGATGCATGTAAAAGGACGGGTTAAACACTTTACCCAGAGGCTCTTTTTGTTCTGTGACGACTGACGGATGTCTCGGTGGTGACGGCAGCAGTCCTTGGGAGTTGAGAAATCACAGGTGTGAGCTTTGACTAGGAGCTTTGACTAAAGGGTTTAAGTTATTATCAGTCGCACCATAAAACATGAACAGTAAATCAAAGTCTTAATGGTACAGAAGACAGCAAAAATAGGAGTAGAAACAATAATAAAGACTAAAACTTTAGCAAGTACTTGGTTCTTCAAACCTCAGCGCTTGGTCTCCTTCAATGCATAAGCCAGGTACTAAAATGTCGGGTCGGTAGCACCTTCCCTATAGTAAGGTGGTGTTTATTTCTACAGAGATAAAAGATCTGCAGTCATCTGCAGTCTGCGGATCATATCTACAGGCATCTACAGCAGAAGAGGTAGATTAAAAGTCTGCAATCTGCAAGAAGAATACTGTTTATTTTTTAACGTTTGCATACTGCTAAAATTAACCGAAATATAAATAAATTGATTTTTTAAATTTAAAAAATTTTTACAATACTGAGATTTAAATAATTTTAATTTTACAATACTGAAATTTAAATAAACCATATAACTACAATAATAAATTATTTAAAATAAATCAATCCATATTTTAAAATAAATCAATTCATACTAATAAATTATTTAAAATAATTCAATCCATACAACTACAATAATAAATCAATCCATATTTTAAAATAAATCAATCTATATTAATAAATTATTTAAAATAAATCAATCCATATTTTAAAATAAATCAATCCATACTAATAAATTATTTAAAATAAATCAATTCATACTAATAAATTATTTTAAAATAAATCAATCCATATTTTATAATAATTTATTTAAAATAAATTATTTTATAATAAATTATTTTAAAATAATTAAAATAAATTATTTTATAATAAATTATTTTAAAATAAATTATTTTAAAATAAATAACCTTAATAAATTATTTAAAATTATTTTAATAAATAATTATATTTTATAATTATTCTTGAAGATGTTTGAAGACCTTTGAAGACATAAAATCAAATCTGCACCAAGAAGAGCTCGCTCAGACGTTTGAAGAGCTTCTGTCTTCTAAAAAACAAACAGTCTGCAAAGCCTAATGTCTGCGCGTGATCTGCGCGACGCAAACATAAGTGGTTTGAAGATGTTGCACAGTAAAAACAAACACCACCTAAACAAACACCAGACATGCTCTCTCCGACAAAACTGCAAGAAACATTCCATATTTTTGGTATTCTAATTCCCAAAAATGTATATGATGGAATACAAGAGGAAAAGAACAGTAGTGGTAAGATGTAACTCACAATTGAAGGTCCTTCAGTTTCCCAAGCAAAAACTTGGTTGCTCCCTCGATGTTTTCCTTAAAGCTTTCTTGCTTCTCAGCGTCCAATTTGGGTGTCAAATTCTTGATGAACTTCTTTATGTAGGCGATGAACTGCTTCTTGTCGAAAGCAGGTTGCTCCTGCAAGAGGCATCGGAATACATTCTTCGGTTTCAAACTCAAGAAGTTAGAAATCGTGATAATAGTTCTAAGAGTAAAACAGACTAACCTGAAGCCTAAAAGTGTCGACAATGTCAACAACCTTAACGGCTTGATCATCAACACCCTCATCCTCATCTGCACCTTCAGCAGAAGGATTGGCACCGATGTCACCATTAACAGCTCCTTGCACAACCCACTAAAAAATAGCAAAAAATCAAAATTGAAGTTAAATTCCATTAAACATCGTCATTGAAACTGAAATGCATGTAATCATTCGACATCCGTAAGGTATAAAAATCAAAACCCTGGACATTAATGTCAGTCAGTTGAATTCCAAGTAAGCCCCATCTCTCTCATTCTCCTCCTCCCAATTTTCGATCTGGTGAGCTTCTTTAATTTTGAATTAAATTTCCAATTTATGCGAATCCTTTTTGCTGAAATGTTCACTCCCGTAATCTGTATTTTCCTTTGATTAGGTGTTCTATTTTGGATTTTTTTTTTGTTTCTATTTGAAGTTTGTGAATTTTCATTCGGCAAATTCAGGGTTTTGGATTTAAAGAAGTTCGGTATTATGGATAGTAATAAAGACGAGGCTTTAAGTTGTCTTCGCATTGCTGAAGAAGCAATTGCCTCTGGGGACAAACAGCGTGCGCTCAAATTCATTAGAATCGCTCAACGCCTGAACCGCACTTTATCTGTTGATAAGCTTTTGGATGCTTGTGAAAATCTCGATTCTGGGTCGGCACCGGTTTCTTCTGTTGATGAAAAGTGTGTTTTAAGCGATGAGAACAAAGGCGGGTCGTCTAAGTTGGATGGGGAGAAAAGTTATACCGAGGAATATGTTCTGTTGATCAGGCAGATTAAGAGAAACAGTGACTATTATTATATTCTTGGTGTGGAGAAGAATTGTTCTGTTGATGAAATCAGGAGGGCATATAAGAAGTTGTCCTTGAAAGTGCATCCGGATAAGAATAAGGCTCCGGGGTCTGAGGAAGCGTTTAAGAAGGTGTGCAAGGCATTTAAGTGTTTAAGCGATGATGATTCGAGGAGGCAGTATGATCAAGTTGGTTTAGTTGATGAATTTGAGTACAATCAGCGGAATAATGTGAGACAGAGACGGAGACGATATAGGAATGATTTGTTTGATGAAGATTTTGATCCTGATGAGATATTTAGGTCGTTTTTTGGTCAGGGAGACATGTTTAGGGCAACACATGTTGACAGGACTAGAGGAATGGGCGGTCATCAACAGAGGGAGGAGCAGCATAGAGGAGGACCTAATTTATTGCTTCTTATTCAGTGTTGCCGATTTTGTTGATTTTCCTGCTTGCTTATCTGCCCGGTTCCGAGCCTGATTACTCTTTGTTTAGGAATTACTCGTATCAGATTCCTAAGACTACTGAGAAATATGGAGTGGAATTTTTCGTCAAATCATCAACCTTTGATGTGAACTATCCCCAAGGAACTGCTGCTAGAGCTAATATCGAGGATAATGCCATTAAGGATTACAAATATATGCTGTGGCGATATTGTCATGTAGAACGCCATAAGCGCCGTTGGAATAAGGGTTTGCCAACCCCACACTGTAATCAACTACAAAATCTTGGACTTGCATGAAGGTAATTTTAGCTACAAAATTGTTGGCCCTTATGTCTTCTGTATCATGTAATTTTATTTAGTGAGTTTTAACCTGTCGTAACCGGTTTTCGTCCGGGCACGAAATATTTATTACTTGGCGGGAAAAGTGATGTGAATAAATGGTTTTGAAAATAATTTGGGAGTCGCCATCGGCCTTTTGGGTCATGTAGGTCGAATACCTAAAAAATATCTTTTAAAATAGTTTTTAAGAAAACATCAATTAAAAGATAAACTGATCTGCGTTTTAACCAAAAATTCGTTCTTTTTAATAATAAAAAGGGATTCGTGGTCGGTTACGTTTAGGGAAGGATTAGCACCCCTACAACGCCCAAAATTGGTACTTTTTAATTATAAATTGTCTCTATTATTAGAAATGTAAAAATTCAAAATATATTTAATTTATAATCCTATTATTTCAAAATTATGATTATGAAAATATATATTAATTTATATATATATATATATATATTTATAAATAAAATATTTATTTATTTAGAAATATCAGAAAATGACTTCTAGGTACCTTAAGACATCTCTTTTTCTCGATATTAAAAAATAAATAAATAATTAAAACAATTAATATATAATTTATAAAATAGGATATTTATTTATTTAAAAATATCAGAAAATGGACATCCAGTTGTTTTAAGACTGTCATTTCTTAATATTGAAAAATAAATAAATATTAAAACATGATTAAAATAAGTTAAAAGTAATTAAATAAGATTTTAATAAATAAAATAAATATTATAAATATATTTATGTCTAAATAATAGTAATAATAGTAATAATAATTAAAAGTAAACATATAAAATTAACATATAATGAACAAAATTAAAACTATATATTTAAAATAAATAAAACTTGTAATAAATAAAAATTGAAATTAGTGACTAAATTGTAACTTAATAGAATTAAATACCGAAGGTATTTTCATAGATCTACTCCGATTAGGACAGTCTTAAAACAATTGGATGTCCATTTTCTGATATATTTAAATAAATAAATATCCTATTTTATAAATTATATATTAATTGTTTTAATTATTTATTTATTTTTTAATATCGAGAAAAAGAGCCGTCTTAAGGTACCTAGAAGTCCTTTTTTGATATTTCTAAATAAATAAATATTTTATTTATAAATATATATAAATTAATATATTTTTTCATAATCATAATTTTGAAATAATAGGATTATAAATTAAATATATTTTGAATTTTTAAATTTCTAATAATAGAGACAATTTATAATTAAAAAGTACCAATTTTGGGCGTTGTAGGGGTGCTAATCCTTCCCTAAAAGTAACCGACCACGAATCCCTTTTTATTATTAAAAAGAACGAATTTTTGGTTAAAACGCATATCAGTTTATCTTTTAATTGATGTTTTCTTAAAAACTCTTTTAAAAGATATTTTTTAGGTATTCGACCTACCTGAACCAAAAGGCCGATGGCGACTCCCAAATTATTTTCAAAACTATTTATTCACATCACTTTTCCCGCAAAGTAATAAATATTTCGTGCCCGGACGAAAACCGGTTACGATAGCTTGGCGACTCCGCTGGGGACCGGTCAAACTTTAAAATCAATTATAAAGTGTCTCTATTAAGTAGAAATTAAAAATTCATATTTATTTAATTTTTAATTCTTTTATTTCAAAATTTTTTATTATTTATTATTTTCATAATATTTATTATATTGTTTATTTATTATTTTATTTTCAGATATTAAAATTTTCATTAAATTATTTGTCAGAAGTTTGAATATTTCTCCTCACACACAACACTTGCATTGCATAACATAAAACTTTCTAATCAAGCTTGTCCCTTTTTAAGTGGGAGTGAAAGCGACGTCTTCGTGAGAATTTATTCTCCGTGTCAGACCTAGCAAGTAACTTTCGGGGTTCATATGCTCTATGTCTTCGTGAGAATTTATTCTCCGTGTCAGACATAGAGAAGTGTATCCCCTCGAATTAAACTCAATCCACTTTAGTCTGTAGTGGACTAGGATTGAGGGTTGGCAGCCTAAGGGGGCACTAACAAGGACAATTCGAGTACCTTTACTCCTAGAACTAAAACCCTGCATATAATAAACCTTAGAACTTCTCCTGATCTAAGACAGTACTGAACCTCTGTCCTTAGGTGTACACAAAGGAGAAATAAGCTTTAGCTTTTAATTTTTTAATTTATTATTTTTTCTGAATAAATGCCTGCGAACTAAAAATCATGTGGTTAGGTTAATTTTTCCAAACAAAGCATGGAACTAGAAAGCATGAGGTTAAGATTTATAGCTTGATAGATAGATTTTTTTCATTAGTTGGTACTAACTATTTTATTTTTTTCTCATTTATTTTGTTTGCATTACATGATCATAGCATAACCAAAAGGTGTTTACTGGAAAGATTGTTCATCGTATTGGAAAGAAATCGTAAATGGACAAAAAGTTTTATGATCAAACAAAATATGATGCGGCCAAGGAAAGACATCCTGAGGAAACTCCGAAGATAGAAGCAAGCTATGCACCCAAAGATCGTATGACCATTGAAGAGCAAAAAGAGATACAAGAAATAAGAGAGCAAATGACCAAGATGATGGATAGAATATCTGTTTTGGCCAAAGGAAAAGAGATTCCCGCACAGAAAGAGAGAGAGCTCAATGAACCTAACCCTGCAGTTTCAAATACGCAAGGGACTTCGATTCTTAATCAATTTGAGAAATTACCGACAATCATCATTCGTATTCACAAATCGTCTGGAGATACCAAAGAAATGGTGACCACTATAAAAGCTCATTGAGATAAGAAGAAATCATGTAATCTGAAATCATCGAAGTTTAGTCGGCTTCCGATGTCTGAAACTCGGGTTCAATCCAAAACAAAAGGTGTTTCTCATTTTGATGCTATCCCTATATCATATAAAGAGTTATATGAGAAGTTACTTGAAGCACGAGAAGTAGCTCCCTACTATATAAAACCATTCCAACCTCCGTATCCAAATTGGTATGACATCAACGCTTATTGTGAATATCATGCCGGAGCTCAAGGACATACCATTGAGAATTGCCTTGCTTTCGAACGTCGAGTTCAAAGTCTTTTGGATCAGGGAATCTTGCAGTTTATGATAAATGATCAACCTAGTTTGGTAACTGAAGATCCTTCCAGATCAACACCAAATGTATTCAAAGGTAAGAGCATCAGTAGGGGCATCCAAAAGGAAGAAGATTTGCTTAGATTCGAAGTTCAAATACGTCATTTGAAGGAGCAAAACAATGAATTGAGCACCAAAATGGAAACCATGCAGGAAGATTTCCAGAAAGTCAGTCAAACCTTTCAAAATGCTGGCATAGGAAACACCCCAGAAGAGTGGATCAAAGGGGTCGCCAAACTGAAAAAGAATTGTAACATACATGAAGGTCGAGCAAAGAAGTTTTATCATGATTTACGAGTTGCAGAAGAAATACGCAATACGTATGTCAGTGAATTGAAAAGATGTCAAGTCGAAAATCAAAGGTTGAATAGTGTTATGACTAACATGGAAGCATCATATCAGATCTATCAGCATGAGGTTGATACTGAATTAAAAGCCATTATCGAAAAGAACAAGACATTGAAGAAATATTTAGATGATTATGGAGATATTGTACGAGAACTCTGTAACCATGAAGATTTTCTCAAAAAAA